TCATACCACATCTTCTTATATCTATGACAACTTTTTACATGAGTTTCAAACGTACAACATACCAGTGTTATACTATACTCATTAATAGTAAAGAGTCAGATACCCCAAGTAAATATACGTTTCTCAACTACAAATCTAAGAGATTTTCTATAACCTATCACACACTTGACATTACTATCAGTTAGATAATTCTTACCCCATGTTAAAACAAGATATATCCATCCAGGACTAGAAGAATCCATCGCATCCTTATGAAAAATTATGTACACCCGGAAGTCATTTAAACAGATTCATTACATACTTGAATTGGTATATTGTTGTTGACTTTATCCTTATACGCTATGCAGGTCATTTTAAATTTCTAAAGGTTGAATTTAAATTTATTATTTAAAGGTAGATAACATTTTACAAAGAAACACAAAAGGACGTAGAAATAAGGAAATTTTATTTAAAGATAAAGTTACGTCATTTTTGTAAATTATCTTTTATATTTCTGATAAAAAACAGGAACAAGATATTTTCAGGAATAATTGCTTTTAAAAATAAAATAAAGTTAACAAAATGTATTTTGGCGTTGTAACCATATTGGTTGTATAATATTTTCATACAAAAAGGTAGATTTATATTTTAACCAGCCTGAGACAAGGTCGTAAATGAACAGAGGAATGCCATCAAATACACATGTACTTGTAAGTACGTGCCACTTCTCAGTCTAAAACTTTAAAAAGGGAGTAAACAATAAATAATAATATGTTAGTATGACATAGAGATTTTCATCTAATTGCTGCTACTGTTGCACTAACCCCCCCCCCCCCCCCCCCCCCCCCCCCCCCATTTGTTTGAAAAGGTGGGAAGTTAGGGCACGTGAAGATTAAAATCATTCGTGTATTAATTAGCTCACCTGACTCATCTATTTTGTCTCGATTCGTCAGGTTAAAAATACAAAGGGAGAAATCCAATTTATAGTTGAGGAAGGACAAACAACCATGTTATAAGATTGAATTAAGCCGTTGTTTCTCTATTGATTAATTAACGTTTTGTCCCCCGGAATTGTATAACTAACTATACGATATGATTTTGCTCATTATTGAAGATCGAATGGTGTAATGTAGGTTTTACATATAACATCATTGTGCTTGTGTCTTTCCTTGAAAGATATCGTGGAAATCAAACCGCCTCTCCTTATTTTCATAATGAATAATTGAAAACAATCACTAAATAAATGATAATAAAGAAAAGTGTAACCTCTGACAACGACTAGGCAAAATATTGTGTGATTATTGTATACATAATATGATCAACTTGGGTATAAAAATGTGCCCCAGGCCATCTGTACTGTTCCCATCCCGCAATAAAACCCATGGTAAAGATAGGTGTTCGTTTTGCTGTGTTGGGTGTATATATGCAGCCAATTGCTGTCGGAATGATGACATTTAAGCTGACGTATAGAGTCGGAATAATGTCTAGCTAGCTCTCTCCGTAAAAGAACTCTCACAAAAGCTCTTTTAAAGGTCCGAAGGTGAATGCAATATTGCAAGATAAGACGTATCGTTTTACTCTAACCCAAATAGTCTTTGATCTTACACCTGAATATAACGTTCTTATTTGAAAAAAATCAAATACCAGTTTTAAGATCCCAATTTTGTCTCTACCGGGGATCGAACTATTAACCTTCTGCACTCTATGTCAAATACCTAGTAGTCTCTGATCTCACTTCCATCTGTTGTACATGCGTTTTAAAATAAAAGCATATTACAATAATAGTTTGATTCGAACTCATAACCATTCGCCTTCAGTATATCACGCTAATACGGAACCACTCTTTTTGTACAAGGACAACAATCACAATACATTGTGACAAAAAATACTAGTACATCCACAGCATAGTCCTTATATCGCTGTTCTTCATCTTGTTTCAGGACTATTGGCTATACTGTGGTGGTAAGTTTTTATTGGTGGAGGAAAACTAAGTACCAGCAGAGACCCACCGACCTTCGCACGTGCCACGTGTGGGGTTGGAACTGACAGTCTCAGTGTTGACAGGCTAGTGGTACAGTACAGTAGATGAACTACTTAGACTATTCGGTCACCGAGGCACCGGTACTTATGGAGCTACCGTTTGATTTTTAGGGGGGGGGGGGGGGGGGGCTAGGATGAAATTTGAGAAAAAACAGAAGTTTTGAGTAAAAAAAAAAGGCAGGATGAGACACTTTGCCCAAAAAAAAAAGGCAGGATGACAATTTATGTAAAAAAAAGTCAGGATAAACTAAAAAAAAAGGCAGGACCGAATAGAGTAAAAAATAAAAAGGCAGGACAGAGATTACAACTTAAAAAAAACGGGGAACAAAATTTTTTATCTTAGCCCCCCCCCCCCCCATAAAAATCAAATGGCAGCTTTTTATTGAAAGGACCAACAACAATAACTAGACTAGGGAATCATTTTCTTTCTCCTATTGATCGAGTGTTCTCAGTGGTAGGCACTGATCATCCATCTTTGTCTTCTATTGATCGAGTGTTCTCAGTGGTAGACACTGACCATCCATCTTTGTAAGGCGGTGGGGATATTGATTCTGATTTCGTCGTCTGAATCTTATAATGATATACTTCCCATTTGGTTATAGTGGTAAATGTAAATTAAAGTTAAAAAGCGCAATATCATAAATACTTGACTGAGTCATAAAAAGTTATAAGGAATCAAATTTAACATACATGAAGAGAAACTCTTTGTTCGATTTTTTTTTCAACAGACACGTCACTACAAACAAAGCTGTTTTAGGAATTTATCCCTATATTTCTATTGGAGATAGACCATGAATTTCATTTTTAAACTGTAATATCCCAAATTTTGGACTGCTGGATTTGTTAAAAGTTGCTCATAGAATGCGTTCATACCACGCAAACAATCTAAACATATTTCTACTAAGATAATTTGGTTAACAATTATTTTACCGCAAAAATACCTGAAAAATAGTGGAGATATAACATGAGCTATAAAATATTTCTCTGAATTAACTAGATGAATAAGCTGAGTGTTATAATCAACCAATAATAAAGAAATAGAACTGTGTAGTTCTGACAAAAACTCGTAGAGTGTCGAAATTTCTTATTAAAGTTGTATAAGGAGAAAGACTATTGCTCTTGGATATAAATAATATTGCTATCTCCATTTGTATCAAAAGTGAACATATAACACTTTAAGATTCACACGACGATTTGTTTCACCAGACTCAAGCTAGCGAACAATAAGTTTGTTTCAGATGGGAAAGGAAACACAGTTTGTTGAAAATTAGGTAAAAAAATAAAGACAAGTTTAATTGTTTAAAAAAAAACTCGTTCATGAATGTTATTGAACAAATCGATTTGTTTTATATTAGGGGACGACCATTTGATATTCTGGGGGGCCAGGAGGATTAATTTTGTTTTGGATGGGTTATTTATTTTTGTGGACCAAAAGGACAGATTATTTATTTTCTGCACTGTTGAAGCATGATTTTTTATTTTCATTAAAACAAGGGACTGATTATCTATTTTACAATTATATTTATAATATTTGAAAACATACATTTTTTAAATTCTTAAATAAATAACATTGTCAATAATTAAGTCAATCAGAATTAATTATCATTCTCTGGAAGTTAATCTTCTGAATTGCAAACTGCATGTATTGCATATGTACAAGGTATTAAAGCTGGGCTGTAACTAGCCTCTTTTAAAAGTTGTCAAACATTTTCGCCGAGCGGAGCGAGGCGAAAAAAAAACAGCGAAGAGTCTGGAGTTCGCTGAAGGCCCCAAGAAGCTATAGAAAAAATGGCGCAAAATCATGCATTATGCGCGTTTCCCAGACCCTTTCTTAATCTGAAACGCAAGTTCTGTTTTAATATTTTGACAATATTCTGGTCTCAAAGCAAAATATATAGATTCAGTGTAAGACTTTAGATTTTAGGGACAACATCAAAAGACCAATATGTAGGACAAAGCAAAAAATGTTTCAGTTTGCAGAAAAACCTTTTATACCTGTCAATTATGTTTTTTTCAAATTAAGTTAAGAGGGGGCAGATTATCATTGATATAACTATGTCAAGTCAGTTTTTATAACACATTTCAATTACAACTCGATGTAGTTCCTTACTGGGATACAATTTAAAGCAGTTTGTAATAGACAAAAGGTCCTTAAATATAATAAAACTCAAGTTTAAAACATAATTACTGAATTACAAATAGAATGTAACACTATGAGAATAGTCATAAAGAAGGGCAATCAATGAACAAAAGACAAACCAGGGAACAGATAAAACACAAAACGACAAACATTATAGACAATCAACACTGAAAAATAAAAATAAATGAGAAACATGGATCTCAAAAAATAGGGGCTACGTCAGAGGGTGAACAGAACTTGCTTCTTGCAAGACACTTGCCGTGAAAACAATTTGATATGAAGACAAGCTTTTGTTTTGAAATTTCCAACATGAGGCATTTGCCTCAATGTAGTTACGGCCCTGTAATAAAAGTGAGGTAAATGTTTACGAGACAATATACCTCAAGTGAAATGAAACCCATTTTCAAACATTTCAAATACATTAATATTTATATTATTAAAAGATTTGGGAAGTTTTTCCCGAAAAAAATATGAAAAAAGACGAATTTTGGAAGAATCTGGTGCCATCTCATACTTCAGAATAGCATTTATAAAATGGCTTAAAAGGACTGCCAAATTATTTTCAATACATGGTAAGTCAGGTTATTTATTTTCAAACTACCACAGAACAAACCATTCATTTTTGTTATTATCAAGGCTGAGTTATTTATTTTCAAAATCCTCCTGCCCCCCTCTCATCCCCCCCCCCCCCCCACCCCCCGAATACCAAATGGTCGTCCCCTTGTAGTTGAAAAGAAAATAAACATCTTCTCAGATAAAAATAAATGAATCAGTAAAATGAATTAACCGAAATAATAAAAGAAATAAACAAATTAAAAAGAAAAAAAATCTAAAATCTTACCTCTGATTAGTTTTAATTGTTCTCTTGTGAAATTATTCTATACATAGGTAAGTGAGTTCAGTCTATGATGAGGGTGTACGTTGTAAATATAATTTCATGTTTGATACAAATGTAGAATGAAGTAGAAGTTTTTTAAGTGTTAATGTTGCATCTTGTCGTTTCCTTACATAACACTTATGATTTAAAGTACAAGTTGATTTTTGTGGAAAGATTTTATAAAATTACATGTTACATAGAAAATGAATAAAGCTTACATCTACGTCACTCATTGAAAGTCATGACCCCAAATAACCCCCTCTAAAACATCCTGGTTATGGGCCTGTTAAGTCTATACCTCGTTTTATCCTTGTTTTACTTGAATAAAATTTTTCTGATTTTGTAGTCTGTACGGGTTAACTTTTAAAAACAAAATGTGTGAATATCATCCCTTGACTATGATACATTTGGTTAAGATTACAGGTAAACTTATATAGGTGAAAAGCCCAAATGTCCGGTCAACTTGGTTCAGGTATATCAAAGATTAAAGAGCAAATGTCCATATTGTTTAAGCGCAATTGTCCTTTTTTGTTACAGGTACAAAAGCGCAAACGTCCTATCTCATCTTGTTCCATATATTTGGTTTTTTAACTGTTTGCAGGTTAAGATTATGTACACATGTATATGTATACTTTAAAAAAATATATATTGTGATGTTAACACCATACACACACAACTGTTGCAGAATACTATCATAACAAATTCACCTCACCTCACCAATCTTATTCAGGCTCCTATCATATAGTTCTTAGCTACTGTCTTTAAGTTAATAATTATCCTTTCACAGCTGTTCATCTAACCACCGAGTTAGAGTTCGAGTTTGAGTTAAAAGCAATGAAAACTGAAAAACACAATGGCACAAACATAAGAGGATGTACCATGTGATATGATTGTCATTGAGAGAACATTCCACCGGAGACCTGACGTAGAAGTTAGCACATATAGGTCAACGTATGGCCTTCAGCAATGAGAAAATCCCATACCTCATAGCAAACTATAAAAAGATATGACAATTGTAAAACAATTCAAACGAGTAAACTAACATCCTGATTTAGTTACGCAACAAATATTATAATCAAAAATAAGAATATGATAGACACTACTAAATTTGAGGCTCCTTACGTGGGAAGAGGCATACACAGAATGTGGTTCAGTGAAACATGTTTGCAAACGCTCAACCCTCTCATAGCCCATGCATTTAGTTAACGTTTTGACCAAAAAGATACTTATTGTTATCAGATTTCCCATCATTACTATAATCAGTTAATCTTACTAATAGGTCTTCAACAAAAGTTTCTATGATATATTTTTTCACTTAAGTACAGCATCCAAATTTTTTTAAAAAGATAGACGGATGTAATGGGAAAAATATATTTGCATACAATTACGCATATATAATTTGATATAAGTAGCATGACATATCTTCCAAAGAACTGTTACATTGTAAACAACACATTAAAAATCCGACACGATGGGTCCGTCCGACACCGTGTTACAGTTAATGTTCTCCTCATGATAGTTATGTAATATTTGACATTGGAAGATTACACGAACTATGCTTACATCCGGTAAATACAAGTGTTATTCTGAAAAATACCTCTAAAAATTGGTTTTCAAAGGCTTTGAAAATAACCACCAGCGGCTCTTTTCACAAAAGATCTTAAGAGTAAAAATACTCGTAAGTCCTACACATTTCAGTATAACTTACGATTTTTATCGTAAGATTTTTTGTGAAAAGAGTCGCAGCAACGTAAGTCTAATATAGCAATTCATAATGTTTGAAGCATTTTTTCAATCTTTCTAATAAACCCAACATCAAGTAATTCCCTCTCATGTTGGTTTACTTTTGTCGTTTTGTTTTTGGTAACAGGAACATACGTTAGCGATATATCCCCATATTAAGTTCTATCTTGTTACCCTTTTTGTCTATCCTATTACCGATAGCTGTATTGCATTTTTTATATGCTAAATTGCAAATATTAAGACGTTTTAACCTTTAAATGACTTCAAAAAAACAAACATTTCATTATGTGTAAAAGTATTATGTAATTGTATACTTTTTAAAAACGTTTCCGTCAAATATTCGATTTGTCTATCCTATTCCTGTAACAATAGTAACAAAATATACCATAATAGGATAGACAATTTTTTTCTGAATTTACAGTAATAAAATCATTAAAGACGCATTGTGATGAAATCATTTTAACGATATCTATTATGTTTACAGCAGAACGCTTTCAAGTGAAAATATCTTGATGTTACCATTTGGCATAACAGTTAACCCTTATATTAGTGCCTATAGAGATTAGTCGGCTGATGAAATAATTATTAATATATTATAAACAATTATTATTGTGTATAATAAAAAATCGTAAGAATCACTAATAAACTATTCTATTATTTATAAAAACTCTTATTAACTAATTGATTAATAATTTATTATTTACTTAGAAAAATCGTTATTAACAAATTATCCAAATCACATGACATATTATTATTTAGGTTAATATTTACAGAAAAATAATATATTTACCATTTCATTTGAAATGAATTGTGATACGGATGTGCATTTGAAAGCGCATATTTCCCAAGCTTTAATTGTTAGATGTATATATTTGCTACACAGCGTAATAATTTTATGGCGAGTCGGTATTGTGCGAGACAATGATTTATTTTGGATCTATTCCTTATTTGTCGGATTTATAGTCTTTGAAGGAATATGGATAATAGTTAAAAGAAAAGGCATCGAATTTAAATGGTAAGGAGAAAAAAACCAATTTATTTTATCTTCGTCATTTAAACTCTGATGAATAGTTGTCTCATTGACAATCATATCACACCTCCTTATTTTATATCAACTACCCGACATAATTCAACATGTTCTCGATGTATGTTTACCATTCATCAATGAAATGTAAAAGTATAAAGGGGACGTGACCTAAACGTCAATGAGACAGCAACCCAAACGATAAAGATAGCTCAAAAATAACTGGAGTGCAACAAAGTTGCATAGTCTTTAATAATGGACATACAGGTGTCTATACACTGTACAATTCTGTATATTTAGCTGTAAGTATCCACATTCTACATGTATAACAGTTGTCTGAATTAAGTAATAGAAACTGTCAATGATCTTCCATCAACGCCATATTCCATAATTAATAATTGAATGCGGTTTATTTTGTAATTTTAAGGGGGTTTTAAAGCGTTGACCGTATCACATCTTGTATGAAGCGCGGAAACATTCAATTCTTATCATTACATTTATATGCTTCGTATGCAGTGGCGGATTTAGAAATTTTCATAAAGGGGGGGGGGGGGGGGGGGGGTCCACTGACTGCCTTAGAGGGAGCCCGCTCCAGTCATGCTTCAGTGATTTCCTATATAATCAACCAAATCTTTCTCACAAAAGGGAGGGGGCTCCGGACAAACCCTCTAAATCCGCCTCTAGTATGCATTATGGTACTTCAAGCTTCTCGTTTGTTTTCCTATGCATTGTTGTGACGCTATCATGAATAGCACGTGCATTTTATTGAGAAATACCTATATTCGCTAGGATTTCTAATATCAATTTGTATTTCTTAATATAATTTTACAGGGTTTTAAGAGCGTTGATCGTGCGAACATTTTTAGTTTGAAGCGCTTCATACAAAGAGTGCTTTGGTCAACGATTTTACATCCCAATAAAATTACAAAAAGCATTCCTAAATACTTTTTTACTTAAGAATTGAATGCTTCTTTTTGTAAATTCATTGGGGTGTAAAAGCGTTGACCGAAGTACATTTTGTATGAAGCGCTCTAAAAATGTACTCACGGTCAACGCTTTTACAACCCTATGAAATTACTGAAAGAAGCATTCAATACTTATAATTACATTTTTTCGCTATGATCATGCAAACACGATTACTATCATTTTTTTTCTTTTATTTACCTGTGCACTTTATTGTGGAAACGTGTGTCATCATGTATGGTACAATTCATGAAATTCATTTTGAAATGAAGAATGACGCGAGATTGCTGTTAGCCAATCAAAATAACATATAATAATGAAACATACATCTAATGTAATTATTATTTTTACATTTTTACAATGCCTCACGATTGTTACCAGCCAATCAAAAGTATGGATTCTTCTGAAATATACATGTAATGTTATTATTCTCAAAATAACACATATGAAACATAAGATTCATTTTATACTGCAGGTAGAACACTTCCTGTTGTCTATACCTACCAAATATAGTAACAAAGGGATATTTCGTGCAATGTCGATTTCATGTCACGTACGTCACTTTTATTCACATTCTTGTTTTGTTTAGGAATAGAAGATAAGTTTCATTTTTCTGTTAATATTTTCATAAACATATTTGTAGCAATGTTTAGTTGCAGAATAAAAACACTATTTGGTTAATGTCGGACAAATATTAACTATTTGTATTCAGTACATAACTGTTGAAGTGCTTGGTAAACATCGCCCTTCCCCAGTTTCAAAAACCTCTTCCAAAAAAATGATCCTTTACTGGCATTGACCTAATATTGTACATTTAGTACATGAAACAACACCAGTCATGTTCCAAAGACTTTTTTTTGTCGTTCGGGTTCTGAATCATTGCCGTATGACCCACTTCCACTTTAATCCATATTCATCGCACATTCCACAAAGCAAGATAACAGCAGACGTCAATGCGCGGGATGGTTTAAACCTGTACATGTAGTACTCAGCAATGTTGTCTATGTATGTTCAACTTCGATAAATATAACGAGGTTTCCGAAGATCTACCAAGATCAACAACAAATTTCGTATATACCACAGGATATATACATGTGTATTAAGATATAAGCAAACCTAATAAAATGATAACTAATGATAACATCCAAAGTATTATATAAAACAACAATTAAATTTCAGCTAATGTATTATTGGTATAATATAAGTATCCCTTTGTAAATTTTACGGACGCCATCGAGTTGGTTGACCGTTATGGAATATCCTTTTCACAGATGATAGCGGATATGTTCCAATTGTCGTAACTACAATCCAGTCCCTTTTCCCCGAATGTGACCTACCAAATTAGACTTATTACCGGGTTCGTACTAACATGAGCAACACGACGGGTGCCACATGTGGAGCAGGATCTGCTTACCCTTCCGGATCACCTGACATCACCCCCAGTTTTTGGTAGGGTTCGTGTTGCTCAGTTTTTAGTTTTCTATGTTGTGTGTTGTGTACTGTTGTTTGTCTTTTAGTCCTTTTCTTTTTAGCCATAGCGTTGTCAGTTTATTTTCGACTTATGCGTTTGAATGTCCCTCTGGTATCTTTCGCCTCTCAATTTTATGCTACTAAATGGCGGCGGGTGTCACTAGTGGAGCACAAGAGTTCAATCCCTAATTTTTGCGATATTCGTGCATCTCAATTTTTATTCTTTGCATGCTGTATTTTGAAGACTGCTAGTCTCTTTTTTAGTACATGTAATGGGCTCCTGTTCGTCCATTAGTAATAGGCTCCTTTTGTTGAGGGCATATACGTTTTTCTTAAATAATCCAAACCCTGAATACAGCAGAAAAGATATGGTGAATTAATATATGAACAAAAACCATTCACGCATTTGACAAACCAAAAAACAAAACAAAAGAACAGCCTTCAACATGGAGCAAAACTCACGTGCAGCAAACAATTCAAAACAGTCCGGAGCCTCAGTTTTAATTAATTTGTTTGCTAGACAACAACCTACATAATCATTATGTGTTTTGAAGTACTACTAGGGGTGTGTTTAACGACCTTGGCTACACTTGAGGGTCGCTCATGGTCGGTACCACAGAAGTAAACAGATGAGTGGGTATAATATTAACACATTATAAATATGTAACAGGTGTAAAAATCTTACAAATTTTGTAACATTTATAATTTGCCAACAATTTCATTTCAAAATGCGTTTAAAACATTTTTTTTTTAAAAGCACACAAAAGTAATTTATACAGCCACGGACCAAATTAGGGCATTTTCAAGGTTACTTGGCAGGATGATTTGACCCCATTACGAGGAATTTTTAAACTATTTGATATTTCAAATCAATTATATTGTATAATTACTGGGGTGTCGGATTAATGAAGTTTCGAAACACCGAACTGAACTAAAGGACCAAGGATACAATAAAAGAAACGGTTGGTATCTATTAAACATAATTTATCCTCATTTTTAAATTTGATTTTACCACTATTTAATCATATCAGAAATAGATTACCCCTTTATGTTGAATGTGGTATAAAAGAAAAGCAACATGCATGCCAATGGAAAAAAATCTACATCCCTATTTTCCATAACAAAAGTTATTGTATATGTACTGAATGTACATTGCGATTGACAAGACTGTTTGTTTGTTTTCTTCTATTTATTCATTTACATATTGAAGGTTTTCGTCCTGCATTCTAACATATTCGTTGGTCAATGTACCGTCCATATGGCAGCTAGAACTCTTCCGTGATACTACATCAAGTACGACTAATACAACATCTAGAGGCGCATCAAATGTAAGTACTAGACTTTTGGAGTGTTTTTCTATGGATGTTATTTAATTATAGATTCTTTCACAGTACTCCCAGAATACATTTATCCTTAAAAGTTTAGTGTATAAAATACATGCAGCACAATTTTGACTTTACATTGAAACAAACTTTACTACAAAAATATTTACTTAGCTAGTTGACATGTTATTACACAATCAGTATAATCTATACCATTAACTAACCTCAGAAGTCAGTGCTTCTGTATCGATCGACATCATTTATAAAATACGTGTCTAGTATTTTTTCTAAAATTCCAAGTTGATAAGCTACGAAATTGTTAAGAAACTAAGATTCCAACTCCATTTGCGAAGTCGATAAATTGGCTATACTTTTTAGGTTCCTTTTTGTCATATAGCCCTAAACGTTTCTTCGTATTTATACATCCCTAGCTTTCAAATGTTTAGATCTGAAGGTTCCTGATGAGGGTAAAATCCGAAAATCTATACCTAACGAACAAAATTTATGCAATGTTATTTTCAGTAAAACATTGTATACAAAGGGTTTTTGATAAGTAAAAAAAACTATGAGTGTTTAATATTTTCAAATGTAGATGGACTTAAGAAATCCCGATAACATGTCGTCTTAATAATTAGTACTGTATTCTTAGACTAGTTCATCCATACGTTTTACCATTGCCAGAGTTTGCATACTCAACAGATCGGGGAATCAAAATCGGCTAACAATTAGTTAATCGATTATATTCCATTCTGATATATTGGTAAATACAAAAAATGGAAAATAAAAGTTAAAGTTTGTATTCTTTCTCATTAAAAACAAAAGGAATTTATAAACATAATAAAAATACAACCTTTGACTACGCACTCTATATTTCGATTATTAAAATATAATCGATTATCCATTCAAGTAATAATCTTCGAGCGTTCAAACATCGATTAATTGGTGTTCGTTAAACGCCCAGTGGCAAATATTTCATTCACATTTAGGACGATCCAAAGTTACATGTAAATAAAACATCATGGGAATAATTTATTCCATATATTTTCCTTATAAAATTATTTTTTTGTATATAAGGTTAAAATATTTAAAACAAATACTTAATGTTCACTTTTGTATATCTGCGGATAAAATCCTTGAAATCTTTATATTTCTACTCTCTATTTGATAGTATTAAAATATGAATATGTGGTATGATTGCTAATGAGACCAATATCCAACAGTGTTCAAATGAACTAGGTATTAACATAAATGACCACCGTACGGCTTTCGACAATGAGCAAACTCAATACCGAATAGTTAGCTATAAAAGACCCCGACATGAAAACTGTAAAATTATTTAAACAAGAAATCTAACGGCCTTAAGTTATTTATAACAGTAGAATGAACGAAAAACAAATAAGACAAACATGAACCTACGACAACCATTGAATTACAGGCTCCTGACTAGGGAAAGGCACATAAAGAATGTGGCGAGGTACAACATGTTTGTGAGCGTTCAACCCTCCTCGTATCAGATGCAATCAGCGTAACTCAATAGATCGGCACGGAGCGCAAAAATAACAAACATAGAACAATGGACACGAAGCACCGATATAAGAGTACTCGCAGTTACTAAATGCTAGTTCAAAGCTAATTACCACTAAAAAATAAATCTCGTTCTTCAAGATTTAAAAGTATCAATCAGTACGCATCCTAAGGATTAAGTATAAAGACGTCATATACTAGTCTATATAGCCATATTTTTGCTACCATTGTTTTTATATTGCAGTCTATCATACCTATATATCTTAACGATGAAACATGGATTTTTGGTTTGGAACAAACATTTCTACTTTGTATAATATTCGGAAGATGGTTGCTACCAAAGGGTTCTTTATCACGAGACAAATTGTCTAGTCTATTGCTTCTTTTGATAGGAAAGGCATGTGACGTAACGGACTTTTTTACTCTCATAAATGAGACAAAAGTCCGCGCGGATAAAAGTCTGGTCTTTGCAATTTTGACAACTTGGAGTGTAAGCGTAGTCCAGTTTACATTTGTGCTTACAGAAACTCAAAGTACAAGTGAGAACAGTTCTCCAGGACGAATCATTCAAATTAAAAAAATATTTCTTGGAACAGATGTCTGGTGTTGCACGATTTCTGTCTTTATGGAGGAGTTACCGTTCTTGATAATGCGAGCATATACCATTGCTACGCATAATATTACTTCGTACAGTACATTATTTTTTATCACCAAAAATGTTTTGCTGCTTTTAATGCTGTTTTATAGAATTATAAGTGTATTGTGTGAAGAATTCAAAATCCATTGGCCCGTCGTCCCGATAAATCAAGTCAGTAGGTCGCATGACATCCGCCATACTGCACACGATGGAAATGCAATGGATCTGGCTAATATAGAGGCACAGTTGAGATCGGTTTCTCCGGGAATAAACACAAGATCTGACAGTCTACATACAATCAATTCAACAATAGTAGAATACCAGCAGATCTACAATTTTTTGCGGAAGAAACAAAAGAAGAAACGCCGTCTATTGAAATATTGCAACTCTAGGTTGGAGATAAATCGAGAAAAATTAAAAGTAGAAACTGCAAAACATCGTAACATTACTAGGTAAAAAGAACAAATCATTAACTACATGTATCATAATAAAGAGATATAATTTACCGCTAGTGGAAATAACAGGAGAAATTAACATCGCTCAGATTCCTGACCGTAATATGAGAACTTCAAGGCAGTATGTGCAAGAAGAGCACATAACCGGTTAATAAGTTACAATTTCAAATATATATATATACAAGTGACAACTCTACGACAGATCCATGCATTGGATCACCAGTGAAGGTGATACACGGCTGAAAACACATATTATATTCATAATTACTCTAAATATCAGCACAACAATGTTAAATCTGAAAATCTTGTTTAGACGTACTTATCAAATAATTATTTCTGTGACTGCATCTTACGATCCTTTACGACAGACAATTTAGCTAATCTGCAATCAATTCCATCTCCATGCCTAATATATCATGTACTGTGCCACAACCTTCTAGATTCTACTAACGAGGAAAGGTAACACTAGGCCATCTAGGTGGCCGAGTGCGGCGTTTTGCATTTGCGCCGATCTGCATTTCACTTGCGCCGATTTTTTCTTTCACTTGCGCCGATTTTTTCTTTTATTTGCGCCGATTGTTTTACAGGTAAATTACAGGTAAAAACTGTTTTTATTTATCACTATAAACCTCTTCCGCTAGCCAGTTATACATATTATGTTATGAATTATTAATTAAAACATGCATATAACTGTTTCCCCCTGCCACAATGGGGAGGTGGAAGTAGGATTTCGAGCAAAACAAGTCAATTTTAAGGTTAAAAAAAGCACTCTGTTTACATCCACTAAAATAACTGAGTATAGCAATAAAATATCAAATGATATAAAAATCTATTTACAGCACTAAAATACAAAAAGGAGCAAATGGAACTTAAAATTATTGAATTGGCGAAATTGAAACAACTAAATCGACGCAAATGAAAGATTGAAAATTTATAAAATCGGCGCAAATGTCATACGCCCGCCGAGTGGTCTTGAGCGCTGGTCACAGTGCTGGCGGTGTTGTCTCGATATCCGAATAGCATCAGTTCGAATCCCGGCGATGGAAGAACAAAAATTTGCTTCCGCAAATTTGCAGATTTTACATTGTGCTGATATTTAGAGTAATTATGAATATAATATGTGTTTTTAGCCGTGTATTCAATGGATGGATCTGTCGTAGAGTTGTCACTTGTTTAGACGTTATTATATATATATTTCTCTAATTCTTCGTCAATTTATCCCTTTCTGCACCCATTGTATAAAAAAAATTTAATCAACGTGTGGTTCGTTTGATCTCAGTTCTTCATTGGATAAAATCCGATTATGACGTCGAATTTACTTGCTTTCCTCTGAATGTCCTATTGTGACGACATGACAAAAGGCGACCATGCCTGATGACGTCACATAGAAAGAACACTTCTTTTTACAGATCATTTGAAAAGACGAAATAAGTTTGCCTGCATATTGTTTGAAAATCATTAGAGAAATAGATTCCACCACCAAATCTCGTGTAATACGATATTTATCCACTCTCGACAGTTAAATTTTAAATATTTAAAACGCTCGGCGAGCCTCGCGTTTTAAATTTGAAAATTTAACTGTCTCGAGTGGATAAATATCGTATCACACTCGATGCAGTGGTAGAATCTATATATAGCACAAACAACATTTTCCAAAAGACCAAATGAGTGAAAAAGTATATTTTAACAAAACGCATTTGACTAGCAGGTCGAACAACTGAATGTTTTTAAACCCTGCTGACTGCCATTGGCGATTTGGGCTTGTATTATATTTGCCTTCGGGTTTATATGATCCGTTCATCCTATTTTGACTCTTTCAAAATTCAAAAGTCTATCCTAAATTGAGGTAAATTATATGGCCTTCCAAATATCGTTTCGATTCCTAACATCACTGAAGAGACATTAATTGTCGAAATCCGGATATGGTGTACAAATCAGCAGGGTTTAAGAACATCAGTTGTTCGACCTGCTAGTCAAATGTGTTTTGTAAAAATATACTTTTTCACTCATTTGGTCTTTTGGAAAATGTTGTTTGTGCTGTATTTAGACCCCTCTACCAAGAAATTTGTTTTGCATGCACACGTATAAAAATTGTGTTTAATCCAACGCAATCATAGGTTTGAACGTTGTGTTCAATTTAGACTAATATAGTTACGATACTGTTGTCAGGTCATTAAAGATTGCATATTTTGGCTTTAATATTGATTCACTTATAGGGTCTTTGCATCGGAATTAAACATATTTATTCTAAAACCAGTTGTTGGCATGACACGGGTTATGTTCTTCTCATATATTTTATGATGGTATAATACTAAACCCCTAACAGGAGGAATTGTGCCTGATATTCATATGATGAAGACATAATCTTTCAATCAGTTTAATTGAGGTCTGGAGCTGGCATGTCAGTAACTGTTAGTAGTCTGTTGTTATTTATGTATTATTGTCATTTTGTTTATTTTCTTTTGTTTCCTATTCTGACATCGGACTCGGACTTCTCTTAAACTGAGTTTTACTGTGCGTACTATTGTGCGTTTGTTTTTTCTACATTGGCTAGAGGTATAGGGGGAGGGTTGAGATCTCAAAAACATGTTTAACCCCGCCACATTTTTGCGCCTGTCCCAAGTCAGGAGCCTCTGGCCTTTGTTAGTCTTTTATCATTTTTAATTTTAGTTTCTTGTGTATAATTTGGAGTTTAGTATGACGTCCATTATCACTGAACTAGTATACATATTTGTTTAGGGGCCAGCTGAAGGACGCCTCCGGGTGCGGGAGTTTCTCGCTGCATTGAAGACCCATTGGTGGCCTTCGGCTGTTGTCTGCTCTATGGTCGAATTGTTGTCTCTTTGACACATTCCCTATTTTCATTCTCAATTTTATTGTATATATATAAACAAGTCTAAATTGAAAACAACGTTCAAACCTATGATTGCGTTGGATAAAAACCGCAATTTTATTCGTGAGCATGCAAAACAAATTTCTTGGTAGAGGGGTCTAAATACAGCACAAACAACATTTTCCAAAAGACCAAATGAGTGAAAAAGTATATTTTAACAAAACGCATTTGACTAGCAATATATATATATATATACATGTTTAAGGATATTTTGACTACAACGGGGTTGATTAACGACCTTGACTACAAATAAGCGTCTCGCAGGTTCTGCTCTGCCTACACCTTTTTAGGCATTTAATTTAGATATAATTGACTTTTGCCTTGCGTTTTATGAAATTTACAGAACAAAAATAAAAATAAAACGAATTGAACAAAATGCACAAATTAAAGAAAAAAAATATATTGATATATAAAAAAACGAGGGATATAATACACAATATTATGAAAAGTTAAAAAAACAATAGATTAACAACTGAATTATTAATTTACCAAACATAAATTCTAAGAGATGATGTAAAACAGATATGTGTGGTAGATCGACTTAATTACCCAGTAGGCCAACTTTCATTCGTATAATTATTTGGAACTGATATGGCTATAAAAAAGCACACATTTGCGATGGCGATAAGAAAAAGGATGACTGCACATCTGATTTGAAATCAATAAGTTTAATAAATAAATTAATATATATCCCTTTATTTTATGTAATAAGGATTCAGGAAATTTAGTTACTGAAATTATATCAATCATTGTATACGCTAGGCTGAGTCTACTAGTAGCATTGTATACCGATATTAAGCCGAGTAAAGCTGACTGTCCTAGTTATCATATTATTAGTATTTATCTTACTGTGATATATTTATATTGGACTTCATAAACTTAATAAATAGTTTTACCCACAACAAAATTGATTGATTGGTTAAATATTACTTCCTTAACAGTGGTAAATGTGAAAAAACAAAAATACTGAACTCCAATGAAAATTCAAAACGGAAAGTCCTTTATCAAATGGCAAAATCAAAATCTCAAACACATAAACCATGTTTGACAGTCGCATAGAATTCCATTATATTGACAAAAACGTATGAGCAAAACAAACAGACATACTAGGTAAAAAGGTAAAAAATTGTGGTACAACAGTCAACATTGTTTTAAAATCTTAATCACTATACAAATAAATAAACATTTCAATAAATGGTTAATGCGTATTCAGGACAATGAAAAGTTGTTACAGTAGATATGTTATGCAAGATTTGTTGGCCAATAAAGGGCGGGAAATTAGGACTGCTCCTGGAAAATGAGGGCATGTTGGATAGATGGAAAAATTCTACCTTGCACTAGGCTTCCAACTGACACTTTACAGTTATTGCAAAGGTTCTTTGACGTGCAGGGAGTATGGAACTCACCCTTCACGGGGAATCAGATTTAACGTTCCCATCTCGACCGGACGAGTAACACCATGACAAGTAGACAGGGGTATATATTACATGAGATATTTCATTATATCGTATCTCATATGCATGAAATATTTGTCACTGGACATTCATCAAGCAAAAAACCAATTAATCAATCTACGTATTCCATCATTCCTGATCAGTAAATTTACACAGTAAACTTTATCAACAATCAAATATCCGATAATCATTTCTATTCAAAATATTGTTACGATATTTATTTACTTTTGTTTGGTCTTAATATTTTTACAAAGTGATTAAATCTTATCAATTATTAATTATTGTGTGTTTGTAGTAATCAGTATCATTAACAGTCTTTGTAAAGTTCCATTACTGAAAGTAAATATTTATTTTAACATGCACAATCTGCTTCTTGTACAAGTTTTAAGCTGGTGTAATAGACACACCCACAAGTATTATTCTTCGTTAATCGTAATGTTACAGAGTACTATTATTATATATTCATAGTTCTGAATATTGTCAAATGAGTTTAATTGATTCGATTAATAAAACATTTTATCATATACTTCATGCGTAATACAGTGCTTTTTGCATATGTGTAACCCCGGAAGAAAACAAGTCGTATTTGCACACCCGGTCTGATAACCCCGTATCAGCCCAATGACGTCACTATCCGGGCTGATATGGCCGTAACCGCCCGGGCAGTAAATCTATATCAGCTTCCTGTGTCAATCTTCTTTATTTTCGGAAGTATATGATAAAGAGATTAATACATGGCCTTTTCAATATCGGCCCGGGTATCATCCCTCGACCCATATCAGCACTTCGACTACGTCTCGGGCTGATATGGGGGTCTCGGGATGATACCCCGGCCGATATGGAAAAGGCCGTGTATTAATCTCTATATAATCCATGACGTAAAATTTGCCAAGTGAAGTTAGCTGGAGGTCTGTCTAGTTTGAATTTAATTACAACACACTTAATGTAATCTACAGTTATACTCTTCTTTTAAGAACATATATATAACAGTACAATAATATAACATTATACAGTATTAGACATAACATGCATTATATATGAAGTTAAGATAAAGTAAAAGTAAAAAAAAAAGAACGAACTGGTCATGATGGTGCACGTGATGTCTTCGTTGGATGCTATTTTTCAACTTTGTTTAAAATCAATCTCTAGAACAGAAAAAATTATTAAAGTATAAAAATTAGAAGATGTGGTATGATTGTCAATGAGACAACTCTCCACCAGAGAACATATGACGTTAAGGTAAGCAACTACAAATGAATATGTTCACCGTACGGCTTCAACAATGAGCAAAACCTATACCGCATAGCAAGCGATAAAAGACCCCGCGATACGGATATGAAAAATTTAAAACAATTCAAACGAGAAAACTACTTAGTCCAGTTTGAAAACATATTTCATTGGAACAAAATTTGACTACATATACATGAAATACAGAGTATGACGACTTCAATGCATGGAAACATATAAAAAGAACCAAATAGCAATACATTTCACGTACATACAATTAACCCTTTGTTTTCTTCATCCATGATGTTATGATAAGTGATAAGTATAAGAAATATGAAATAAATAAATACGAGGAAAAACAAATAAATACAAATAAAAAACTAACAATAAATGAACAAACAGACAGGGCAAAAAACAAAAAAAACATTAAATCACATTTTTCAATATATCAAGCTCGATTATAT